GCTTGCATATATGTATTCATTTTTTTGCTTGTTAGTTTGATTAGTGTTGATTTCAAATACAATAAATCTGCTTGTATAAAACTTGTAGTAACGGTGCTCATAATTGGTGGGTGCGACTAAATTTTGGCTGATGCACCTACATTTTTAAAGTTAGGAGCACCGGTGCTACCAAGCAAAAAGGTTAATTTCGAGCCCTGATAATGCACACATATTACAGGAGGTGAGTTATGGCTTCAAAGTTTTCTGTAAGGTTTGGGTTTAGAGGCAGGACCATAGAAAATACAGTCTGTAACTTGTTTACAGTATAAAAACAACACTGTATATGGAATGTCCCCACAATTCACAAAATTAACCCACTGTGTGTGTGTGTGTATTTTTGATTGACAGCCCATTGAGCTGGGTTTTGCTGGTTCATATCTGCATGCAGGGTTTTCTTCATGTGTTTTGTGAGTCACTACAGTGTGTGTGTGTGATAATAGGAAGCAGATCCAGTATCACCAGCGCTGCCCGTTCCCCTAAAACCAGCAGCAGTTTACAGCACAGAGGGAAAAATCAGCTTTTAGTGCGAGTCTGAGTGCTTCAAGAGGCCGACCCATGCAGGAAGTGATGTCATCGAGACGCTTGTTGATCATTTAGACAGAGAGTGATGAGGGTCTTGACCCCAGCCACCAGAGGAGATGAAAACGTGTGTGTGTGTGTGTGTGTGTGTGTGTGTGTGTGTGTGTGTGTGTGTGTGTGTGTGTGTGTGGAGGACGTTTCTGCTGCTTTCTGAGCTCATTAGTGAGTGTTTTACTTCTGAGTGGGACTGTGTTAGTTTTGGGGCTCTGAGTGCTGGGAAACCGACATCACCAGCCCACGATAAAATAAACACACCAGTGTGTGTGTGTGTGTGTGTGTGTGTGTGTGTGTGTGAAGGAGACTTTGTGTTCGCAGACAGATGAAAGTAGACCGCGGTGCCCCCCCTCCTCTCCGTCTCTGCCCCACATGCTCCTAGTTAGAGTGACCTAAACCAGTTAACCACACACACACACACACACACACACAGTTTCTTTGAAAGTCAATGGTTTTATGAGGAGCAGCCGTCTCTTGGCGAGTGTGTGTGAGTGTGTGTGACAGGTCAGACTCTGGTATGCACATGTGTGTGCCAGCTTTTCATGAGCACTAGTGAGTCGTCTACCTAGACTGCATCTTAAAGTCAACAGAATGCATTCTGATCCATATATGCACGTTTACATTCATTCCTTCATTCATTTTCCTTCAGCTCAGTCCCTTGTTTCAACCGGGGTCACCACAGCAGAATGAACCACCAACTATACCAGCATATGTTTTACACAGCGGATGCCCTTCAAGCTGTAACCCACTACTGGGAAACACCCATACACACTCATTAACGCACTCCTACACTACAGCCAATTTAGTTCATCAATTCCCCTATAGCGCATGCGTTTGGACTGTGGAGGGAGAACATGCAAACTCCACACAGAAACAGCAACCGACCCAGCCGAGACTTGAACCAGAGACCTTCTTGCTGTGAGGCCATAGTGCTGACCACTGAGCCACCGAGTTAAACATGTTGGCCATTGACATGTTGGCGGTTCACTAGTCTCTCTGTTCATGTAAATATACTGAAAACACGAGAGGATTGAGCGTAAATGTAATGAACAGCGTCTTCCTGTAACATTTTTGAGTGTTTCCTTTCTGAGACCTGCAGACGGCATCATCATCATCCTCATCTTCACAGAGCTCCTACAAGCTTCATTTAGCAGGAAAACCTTCCAGTGCTGGAAAATATTCCACGCCAGAGGAAAAAGAGAGTCAAGTCAGCAGAACAGCCAACCCAAAAAAAAAAAAACGTGACGGCTTAAAAATAACCCAATTGAGATCATTTCTTTTCTATTGCGGAAAATTGATATAAATAATTCCACATAAAAGTGTGGCGCTGGAGCTGAGGGGAATAATGATTGGTGAGCAGCAGCCGTGATGGCGCCGCCGTTTGAGGGAAGCACGCGGGACGTTTGAGGCACAAATCCAAACTAAATCAACACAGTGTTGCTTTAACTTTGAAGCAAACGTTCAGTTGTGATGCGGTCACGAGACACGGATCCTGACGGGAAGAGCTGAGCTCATAGGCTGCGTTTACATGCAGATCTTGATGCTTTTTTTTAATTGTAGCTGACCTTTTTTATCTTCTATTAAAGGCGCAGTATGTAACACTGACACCCTGTGGCTGAACTCGGTATTGCACTGCAAATTCAAAACACTTTTCACCTGGCCCTCAGACAACCACATAGTCATAGCTGGTAAACTCAGAACTCAGATAAAAGAAAAACTTCACAATAGTGTTATAAATAAAAACTTATAAATAGCTGCAAGGTGATAATCTAGTTAATCAAGTTAGTTTAAAATAAGGACCATTAAACATTAAAAAGTACTCTTTTTAACTTTTTCGTAACTTTTTAATTCAACTTTGGGTAAAATATGGACAAAACCAAGAGTGGAATTATTAAAAATATTTATATTTATTATAAATGAAATTATTATTAATATTATTATATTATAATACAATCTATTATATAGAAATATATTATTATACAATTATAATTCTAATAATAATAAATATAGGCGATGCATTGGCGCAGTGGGCAGCATGTTTGCCTCACAGCAAGAAGGTTGCTGGTTCGATCCTCGGCTGGGTTAGTTGCCATTTCTGTGTGGTGTTTGCATGTTCTCCCCGTGTTGGCGTGGGTTTCTCCCGAATGCTCCATATGTGAATGGCCCCTAACGTCTTTATGCAAATGTATTCATTTAGAGTGGTAATCCCAGAATAAAGTAAATCATTTCTCAAAGCTTACCGGGGCACAGATGATTTTTACTGATGCACGTTTTATTTTTTAAACCATCTCCCTGTGCCGCCCTCAGCAAGATGCTGCCCTGGGGTGCGTTTCCCAAAACCATCATTAGCCAACTAAGGTTGCAAGTTCCGTCGTTACAAACATAGTTTGTTGATTTGCCGTTTTGCAAATCCGTCGCTCCAATGAACATTCGCAAGGTGCGTTGCAAACTTGAGCACTCGCAACTACAGCTGTGGAGCTGTAGTTAGAAACATAGTTCCTGGCTGTGTTCTATTCCCACTTATCCCCCCTATGCCCTATTCATTTAGAACATTCTAAGATTCAAATTTGGAATTATTAAAAATAAAAAAGCATTAAGCTCATCTCTCTTAGGGGTCATTTGCAGTCAAAGCATTTTTACAGTTCAGTTTTAGCGATCTTCATGTTTACAATTGTGCTCCCTTCACAGTGCACTTTGAAAACACTGATGTCATTTTGAACACAGCCTCAAGCGAAAGCTATAGGTGACCTATTATTTAAAAGCGGAGTTTGTTGCAGGGCCGGCGCGTCCATAGAGGCAACCTAGGCGGTGGCCTAGGGCGGCAGTATAGAGAGGGGGGCGTCCGCGACACCTCCCTCACCACCCACATCCTCAGTTATATTCGCACAAGAGAGGGCGGCGTCAGCGACACCTCCCTCAGCACCCACGTGTCCTCAGTTATATCCGCGCATAGGTTTGACAGAATAGAGAGGGCATGGGTTACTGGTGATGTGCTGGGTTTCATAGGTTATTAATGGTGTTTTCTGACACTTCCTGTTTAGCCTGCATTAATGCATTCAGAGTAAGCATCACAATTAATCAGTAAAAGATCGGGATCTCAACACCCACGCAACATCAATTATAAATGATGCTGATTTGCACATGTTTATTAATCCTAAGAGATTGAATCTTATAAAGTGTTAGTTATTGTAGGAAAATATAGTCTTTAGAGTTAGTGATGAAGTTACAAACTGTCAAATAACATAGCAGTACTGAGAGAACAGTTTATAGTTTAGATAAAATCACTGATGTTTATGGTAAAGATTAAATCACCATCATCTGCATTTAACTTGACGCTCCAAAATGAAAGTTGTGGGCAGCAATTACATTATTTAACCAGTAGGTGGGGACAAACAGTCATCAAAAATATGCCACTGAATAATTCTTCAGAAATGATCATCTAGCAATGAAACATGAAGATTTATGAGTGAATAACTGAATCATATATTGAAGATGAGACTGGAAATAAACATGGGCTGTACAAATGATGATGTTAGATTTCTACATTCAGTGTCATCAGCAACAGTAGTAGCAGTGAATTCTTCACAGGACTGAATATTTCAGTTTATTGATATTCAGCTGATTATTTCTTCATGTTATTTGTAATTAAATTACAGCTTCTCAGTTCTGTTTGTTAAAACCAAAAGTGTCCTGCAGTGCTGTTTCTGTCATAAATGCAAAGCAAATGAAATTAGTCTCCTCCCCTTTTTGGCTGATCCAAAAAATGGTCCAACACTGTCATGTTGCCTTTTGGGATCATTTGCTAGCATTTTCAGATAATATGGCATGCTGTGTGCACTTAATTGTGCATTTCAGTCTGGCCTCCATTTCCCCGATGAGGGAAATTATTATATAATTTGAATCTATAAATGTATTTGTTTTTATTAAAGATCATTTATTTAATATTTCTAATTTAATGTAGCACTCCAGAATCTGACACTGATCTTCTGAATGCTGTAATTGATTTCCTTACATTTGTGATATTTACGTTATTTGCTAATTAAAATGTATTTTTATAACTCTGAATCTGCCATGTGTCATTCGGGAGGCTGCTTCTGTCCTCCAGAGCTCACATTTTCAGCTGCGTCCACATACACCGAGAGCCTTCAGGACTGAAACCGAATACACTGTTTTGCCAACTGGCAACCCAGGGATGCTGAAATATAATTGGTTAAACCAACAGTGGGCGGAGTTACAGAGATCAAAGCAGAGACAGACATTCTGACACGGAACACACATTCTCAAAGCAGAACAACTGACTGTCACCAACCCAACGCATGAATAAAGTGTGTGTGTGTGTGTGTGTGTGTGTGTGTGTGTGTGTGTGTGTGTGTGTTACAAAGCCTCACCTCGTCATCCTTGTACCAGGACAGTGATTCGGCCGTCAGCACAAACCAGTACTCTTTAGCTCCGCCCTTCATGATGCCAATGTTATTGATAGTCAGCCAGCCCTTCCTGATCACCTGAAACACACACACACACACACACACACACATGAATACTACTTACTGCATACTACACAGTCTACTGCACTACAGTCTGGGTGATGAACAGAAATATACAATACGCAAGTAGTGTGTGTGTGAGAGAGTAAATGTTTGTGTGTGTTTGTTTGGGCTTGTGTGTGCATGTTTTATTGTGTGTCTGTGTGCGTGTTTGTGTGTGAGTGAATGTTTGTGTGTGTAATTGCGTGTTTGTGTGTGTGTATATATGAGAAAGTGAATTTTTTATGTGTGTGCATGTTTTGTGTATGTGTGTGTAAGTGCAGGTGAATGTTTGTGTGTGCACAATTTTGGATGTGTGTATGAATGTGTGTGTGTGTGTGTGTGTGAACGTGTTCGTATGTGCGTGCATGCGAAAGAATGTTTGTGTGTGCACGTTTTTGTGTGTGTAATTGCGTGTTTGTGTGTGTGTATATGAGAAAGTGAATTTTTTGTGTGTGTGCATGTTTTGTGTGTGTGTGTGTGTGTGTGCGCGTTTGTATGTATGTGTGAGTGCGAGTGAATGTTTGTGTGTGCATGTTTTTGTGTGTGTGGATGTGTGTTTGTGTGTATGAGAGTGAATGTTTGTGTGTGTGTGTGAAAATTTGTGTGTGTGCATGTTGTATTGTGTCCGTGTGCATGTTAATTGTGTGTGTGCATGTCTTTGTGTATATGCGAGAGATAATGAATGTTTGTATGTGTGCATGTTTTATTGTGTGTGTGTGTGTGTGTGTGTGTGTGAACGTGTTTGTATGTGCGTGCATGCGAAAGAATGTTTGTGTGCACATGTTGTGTGTGTGTGTGTGTGTGTGTGTGAACGTGTTTGTATGTGCATGCATGCGAAAGAATGTTTGTATGTGCACATGTTTTTGTGTGTGCATGTGTTTTGTGTGTGTGTGCAGGTTTGTACAGTATGTGTGTGTCTGTATGAATGTTTGTGTGTGCAGACATTGCACATTTTATTGTGTGTTTGTGTGTGAGTGAAGGTTTGTAAGTGAATGTGTGCACGTTTTTGTGACTGAGTGTATCTGTGTGCGAATGTTTCTGTGTGCAAATTTTATTGTGAATAAGTGTGAGAAGTTTTGTATGTGTGTGCGTGTGTTTGTTTGTATGTATGTGTGTGCATGTGAGAGTGAAGTTTTGTATGTGTGTATGTTAATGTTTGTGTGTGCATGTTTTATTGTGTGTGCGTGTGTTTGTGTGTGCATGCGAGTAAATGTTTGTGTTTGCTCATGTGTTAGTGTGTGTATGTGTGTTTGTGTGTATGTGAGAGAGTGAACATTTGTGTGTGTATGTGTGTGTGAGTGCATGTTTTATTGTGTGTGCGTGTGTCTTGTATGTATGTGCATGTGAGTGTTTGTGTGTGCATTTTTGTGTTTGTTTTTTGTGTTTGTGTGTGAGAGAGTGAACGTTTGTGTGTCTCTGGGTTTGCATGTTTTATTGAGAGAGTAAATGTGTGTGTGTTTTTGTGTACACTGTATGTGTTCGTTTGCGTGCATGTGTTTGTTTTTGTCAATGTGTGAGTGAATGTTTGTTTGTGCAATTGTGTGTGTTTTTGTGTGTGTGTTTGTGTGTGTGCGCATGTTTGTGTATTTCTGTGTGCATGTGTTTCAGTCAAGACCACAGACTACATCAGGGGTGTCCAAATTCGGTTCTGGAGGGCCGGTGTCCTACATATTTTATTTCCAGCCCCAATTAAACACACCTGAAGCAGCTAATCAAGCTTTTTCTAGGTATACTAGAAACTTTCAGACAGGCGTCTTGAAGGAAGTTGGAGCTAAACTGTGCAGGACCCCGGCCCTCCAGGACAGAGTTTAAACACCCCTGCTGTAAAGAGTCTAGGCCAGGTGTGGGCAAACTCGGTCCTGGAGTGCTGGTGTCCTGCATAGTTTAGCTGCAACACTAATCAAACACACCTGAACATGCTAATCAGTGTCGTTAAGATCACTAGAAATCTATAAGCAGGTGTGTGTGATTAGAGTTGGAACTAAACTGTGCAGGACACCAGCACTCCAGGACCGAGTTTGCCCACACCTGGCCTAGACTGGCTCACACTTCACTGCATAGTTGTACTGTGACTCACTTCTGCCTCCAGTGGACAGAAAAATAAATACACCACTAGAAAACATCTAGCAAATCTTCTAGTTAGTACATCTAGTGTTTATTCGCCTCTTCTGAATATAATATTTCTGCTGACTAGAACAGACTCAATCACACACACAAAAGTCTGTACGAATGAAAAGGGAGATTCACTTTAAATGCAGTTTTTTTTAAAGATATTATATGTACTCGTGTTCATTTTATGTTGTATTTATTTTCCCTTTTCTCACTTTAAAAAATAAGTAAATTGTGTGATTATTGAAGACATTTTGCAAAACATTCACATCACAGGAATTCAGTTTCACTAAAACTTTCTTTAAATAATAATGACACCACACTATGCTGAAATTAGAGCTACACAATATGTGGTTTCAGCATTGATAACACAATGTGATCATTCGCAAGTCACATGGCAGAATATGCAACGTTGAGGGAAAAACGAGATTGTTTTGAGGCCTGTGATGATGAGGATTTTAAAAGCATTTAGACCAAAGAAACTGTAACTAATAACTATTAATTTTAGACTATGCAGATTACATTTCATTTGATAATTCCATTACTGTACACCTGAATACTGTTATTAGGCTTCTCTGAGAACATTTAAACACTGTTTATTTCAATTGCATCTTTTACTTTATTGCAGAGCTATTCAGTTAGTTTGTCATGGGGGCCGGTTCATGAAAAGCATCCCAAATGAGGGGCTGAAGAGATATGACCTGCTATATAAGTGATGACACGACAGCAATATAAGGGCCCATATGCTGTATTTTAGCTCCTTAAGACAGCCACGTTGGCTTTTTCTACATTAAAATGTGAATATATTGTATTTTGAAACTACATAACATCTCTGCATTATACAATAGACTTTTTTTTTACACACATTCAAATGCTGTATTTCAGGACACAACAAAAGCAGTGCATTGCTCAAGTAGGCTACATTCAGACACATTCATATGTGACGTCTTGAACTGCATAACAATTAGGGATGCAGCGATTTTAGATTTTGGTTGTACGATATAGTCTGAAGAATAATGATGGTTTCACGGTTATCACGGCTAATGTAAATTCAAGCTTTATATTAGGGTAGTAGCTATTTGGATTAACTGTTGTTGTCATCTGCGTTCATGCATGCATAATTATTTTATTAATACATATATTTTGTTTACATTGCACTGAAAGTAACGCACAACTCTCTCCAGTTAGATGTTTTCTATTGCGTACGGCCGAAAGGCGCGTCATATATGCTTACATTAGAAATAACAAACTTGGGTCCCACTTTATATTAAGTGGCCTTAACTAATATGTACTTACATAGGAGTTAATAGTTTGTTACAATGTACTTATTGTGTAAATACATGTATTTACTGTGTACTTATGCTTGAATTGAATACATTTATGTAATTACATCTGTAATTAACTTTTGTTATTACATTTGTTAATACACTGTCGACCACCCCTTACAACATAACTCACCCTTAAACCTACCCATACCACCAAACCTGTCCATAACCCAATCTCTATCCCAACTCAAAAGCACCACAAGTGTTCTCAAATACATCATAAACACAGTAAGCACATTGTATTTATTTTTTGATGTAAGTACATAGTAGTTAAGGACACTTAATATCAAGTGGGACCCAAAATTGCAAGCGGAAAACGCGTCATATGGGAACGGCCGCTGCTATAGTTAATCTGGAGTGCGTGCGTATTAGCCTCGATGTACAAGCTTCGAACTTTAAACTAGCGCACAGGTGGCCACTTGGCATACCTTTGTTTATTGTTGCGGTTTCGTTTCGTGCAACAGAAATGCGGCTTAGAGACGAATTCACGATTAATTAACCGTGACGAATTAAAGCGCAGTTAATAGTGAAATCGGCTAATCATTGCATCCCTATTAACAATATCAGTGCATTGTACAAAAGGCCTTTTCAACAAACATATGTTTTCGGCTGCCCGCACCACTCGCTGACGCCCAATTCACACAGGGCGTCAGCGCCAACGCTTCCCATTCACTTTGAATGGGTGATGTCAGGCATTGCCGAACTGCATTGTAGATCCATCGGCGCCGCTTCTGAGGCATTGCTCGCGGCAGAAGTTGGGACTAGCTCAATTTTTTAAGCACCGACGGAAGCGTCAGCCAATCAGATCGCTGTATGCAAATACACCAGCTAGACAGTGACCTATTACTGACTGAATTTCATTGGCTGATGCTGCTATGAAAAACGCGTCAGCCCCAACTTCAGACACGCCTTCAGTCAAGCGTTGACGCTGAAGCTCCGTGTGAATGGGGCGTTATGGTGACTCGCGCTCTGCGCAGCCTTCAACTGCAGCTTGTGCTGTATTTGAACAGACGCACGTCACTTCGTAACTAGTTTTTCTACTGAACTAAATTTATTTTAGATGTCTTGGTCACACTGTTTGGAGGGCCGGAACAAATAGCCTCTGGGGCCGGGTTCGGAATGCGGGCCACCAATTGAATAGCCCTGCTTTATTGCATGTATTTATGCCTGTAGATTGTTCATTATATTTAATAGGGATACACTTTCATACAGAATCATCCCAATCGATCTAAAATGATCAATTCTTTCCATTTAGGGATGTTCATGTCATCTGAAGAAATTGTACTAATATTGCAATATAAATCGCAGGAAAACGAAATATCGCAAAGTCAGAATTTTCCAATATCGAGCAGCCCTGGCGGAAACAAAAACAATTTGTGTATTATTATAAACTCATTATCAATTAAATATAACAAGCACGATCTACATTTGAAAATACTTTAAATAAACCACATTTAAATTGTATTACAAAACACTTTTATTAAATAATTATATCCATTCAAATACATTTCAGTTGTTGTTTGTTCATTTACAGATACCAAACGTGTAAAATGCTTGCCTTATGTTTGTGTGTGTGACATTACTATCTGAACATTTTCAGTGTATATTCCAACAAAACCATGATCATGATCAATGTTCAAACCTTCACATGTCTAACGGTGATAAAGTAAAACACAGACTACTCACCATGATCTCATCCTGATGCAGCCGAGTAAAAGAAGGAGAAAAACAGATGAGGAGGAGCATGCTGGACTTTATTCAAGACTATTAAAAAGCAAACTAACTGTGTAAGAATCTAACACAGAGACCTGATCTGAGACACAAACACACACACAGATGCAAACAGATGAAAGAAAACATCAATAATAAAACAGATTCCTCATACAAGTGTTTTTATTCTGTGAGGCTGTTTTGCTGAGATGCGCATCAAATCCTAAAATATCTGTTTATAAATGTTTAAAAACTCAATGGAGGCAGATAATGATGAGAAGACATGCGTATCAAATATAATAAACCACAATGTTTTCTTTTCTGAGTGCAGCACACACTGTACACTACTGTCAGGTTGATTTGCATGTCATTTAAATATTCATGATGGCGTCTGTATCTGTGTTTGAGCCTCCAAAACACATTTTGAATACAGATGAATACCGTGATTATGATGATGGTGCGCGTGTGTGTGCGTATGTGTGTGTGTGCGCATGTGTGTGTGTGTGCCTCTGAGCTCTGATGAGGGACATAAAGGGCATGCAGCACTTATTTAATCAAGCAGAACAGCACTGACTCTCTCACACACATACACACACACACACACACACACATAAACATACAAACACACATGCATGCATACACACAAAAATTACACTTACACACAGTTATGCATACGCATGCACACAGACACACACACACACACATATATACACACAATTCCACTTACAAACATACAATCACACACATCCTTTGCACAATCATGCTTACACACACACACAATACGCAATCACACTAACATAAATGAACTCACACACACACACACACAAAGACATGCACAAACACACACTCATACACGCAGTCACACTTGCAAACACACATACAAAATCACACACATACACAAACATGCTTTCTCTCTGTCTCACACACAAACACACACACACACAATCACAAACATTTAAGCACACAATCATACACAGATACACACACACACACAATCAAACTTACATAAACACACACACGCACACAACAAAAACATGCACAAACACAATAACACACACACATACACAATCAAACTTACATAAACATACACACACACACACACGCACACAACAAAGACATGCACAAACACAATAACACACACACATACACAATCACTTGCACACATACACAATCATGCTTGCACACACAAACACATGCACTCTCTCTCACACACACACTCATTTTCTCTCTCTCTTTCTCTCTCTCTCTCACACACACACACACACACACACACGCTGCCTTTAACAACTGATCGGAGTCTCTGAATCAGTGTAAGTGTGTGAAGCTCATCCAGCAACAGCCTCATTCAGCAGTAAATTAATTAAATGATAAACTGCAAAAAATGTCTTTCTTACTTCTTATGAACACACACACACTCTGTTATTCATCAGGAGAGAGCGTTCAGTGTGTGTGGTGGCACACTTGAGCAGAGACGCATTAATCGAATCCCTCATCAGTAGGGCCAGACTGAATCTGGGGACATTTTTTGCTATTTTTGCAGAGAATTTTGTAAAAAAATCTCTGTATTTTCGCGGAATTATTTTTAAAGTAACTAAAAACTTAATATATGAAATAAAAAAATAATAGCTTTTTAACTTTTATATTTACAATGCAAATCCAGTTAGATCCACTTATTTGGTAAACAAATCAAGTCACTCATATAATATCTCTGCTAAAAGACAGAAAGTATGACTTTACACACTGTATTATAGATAAATCAAATGAACACTTTAATGTTAGTAATTCATTCATTCATTCATTTTCTTGTCGGCTTAGTCCCTTTATTAATCCGGGGTCGCCACAGTGGAATGAACCGCCAACTTATCCAGCACATTTTTACGCAGCGGATGCCCTTCCAGCTGCAACCCATCTCTGGGAAAATGAGTAAATAATATTAATGAAATTCATAAAAACATTGAATAAATATAAATTTACACACAAGTACATGAATAGACTCAATGACAGGCTAAAGATCTGCGGATCTGGTCAGACTCATCAGTCAACAACATTCTTGAACACATTCAGTAGGCCTACATTAGTACATTTGTTAAGTTAATTCAGTTTATTTTAATTCCTTCAGCCATATATTGGAAATTGGCCCATTTTTTTTGATTGAGAAATGTTTGGACATTCGTAACAGGTGTTATATTATATATATTAATTTCACTCCAAATTCTCCTTGTTATTCATCAAATATTTTTATTTAATTGTGTATTTTCAAAGTTGTTCTTTAAATATCTTATATTTCAGAGTTAATGAAATCATAGTTGTGTGATTTTTCAATGTATTGGTGTATTTTGGAAAAATTGTGCGTGGCCCCTTTAAGTGTCATTTTCCGGTTCCGCCTGCTCTCGCTCAGTTCGCGGCAAACGCGATTAGGAGAGGTGAGTTTTACTGAAGCTCCGGTTAAAATATAGCATATAAGTGTTGTTTATCATAATAACACATGTAATGTTGTTCTAAATTGCATTACATTGATGTTTAAACATGTATGAGAGGTTGAATGTATATGAGGCATGTATTGTGTGTAAAGTTTATAAGCATTACAGTTTTTCTAGTTTGCTTTGAGCTGGTTAAAGAAACTAGGTTCCTCTTCATTTTCATTATCTCTATCCCAGCAGAGCAGAGGACCGGTCTTGCAAATGTGTAAACCCTTTCTCATTGGGTTGACACATTTTCCCCACCATTTTTCCAAACAGTTAACACAGATGTCATTCAAGCAGTCCAAACTCCATTGTTTTAGTTTTGGTAACCAAACAGAATCCATCTATTCCTAACTATTAAAAACTACCAACATCAGTATGAAACCACTGAAGCACCGGTTTGACACTCCTTCACACAAATCTTCAATTAGCCATCATTCTGCAAACCTTATAAAAACGATGGAAGCTCTGTGTTGTTCTGTGCCAGCATTGATGGGGGAGGTCAATATGGCTATGTCCTATACTCCCAATAGATTTGACTGTATATTAGTTTACATGTGTTTTCTCTAATATTTACAGTATTTTATTACTTTTGTCTGTTTTTTTATATACAGTATTTCAGTTTTCAGCCACAGTTTGAAAAATGTCATGAATTCAATATATATTCAATCAAAGCACATCTTATTCTTGATCCAATTCTTTGCAAAAAGGTGAATTTGACAGCCCAAATAAAGACAACAAATGCCATTGGCTATAAGCTACTATGGCAAGCAATGGTGGTGCATTTTGAGTTCTGTATTTTGTATTTTGTTGTCCATTGTGTAATGATTAATTGAAAGAGCTCATATACTTGTTTGCAAGTTGTGTTGTTTGAAGGTAAAACTAGCTTTTGTTGCATATGTTAAATGTTTTGACACAATATGTGCCTTTTGCAAGCAAAATGTGTCATTTTGACCATGAGTGCCGCTGTTTAGGCCTGTGTGTTAACTGTTTTGAAAATGTAGAGTTTCAGTTGACAACTGCATCCAAGCAATCGAGAAAAACTGTAATGTGCAAGCTTCGTTGTGAGAATTATCCCTTTTACTTATAGGTTGGTGAGCTCCTAAGGAAGGCACATACTCAGCTTTGCCGTGTGTTTGTTTTATTCATGCAGAATAAAAGCCTGTTAATTCCCATATGATTGGTTCCTTTCGCCTAATCACAACACAACGCAGAGTACAGCGAGGACCGGTCACATGAAGCAGTATTAGGACAAGCCATGGGACGTTAATCGTTTTCAAGGTATACCGTGGCTTGGAAAAGTTTTTAAAGGTTTTAAAACCGCCAAAATTAAGGTATGAGTACGATTTTGTATTTAAATTATTATTATTATTATTTTTAGGACAGCAGTATCTCCAGCAGGAAAGATCTCCAAAGATGCTGTTTTAAATTGTAAAGAAATCTGTAAAGAAATCTGTGACATGTTTACTGCTCCAAAACAATTTCAATGCTTCCCTAATCAAAATTAATTGTGTTCAAAAGGGAAAAAACTTTTAGTTTTTTACCCAGGCATTTAAAAAGATTATGGGTGTTTTCACACCTGCCTTATTTAGTTCGATTGAGTTCGTTCGTTTCCCCTTTTGGTGCTGTTGGTTTGGGCAGGTGAGAATGCAGCAATCGTACTCGAGTGCGCACCAGAAGCGGACCGAATAAGCGTACCGAGACCTGCTTGAAGAGGTGGTCTCAGTACGCTTTTAAACGAACCCTGGAGCGGTTTGTTTGTGGTGATCCGTACTAAAACAGGTCCAACCGCAAAAAGTACTGCACGTTTTGGACTAATCCAGCTGCCGTAGGCCGATGCGCTGTGCATTATGGGATATGGAGGAAATATTTGTTGACAGCGCTTTACCAACAGAGAGACAGAGAGAGAGGGGAAAACATTACCTGATGGATCGTTGGTAATATTTCCGCAAGATGAGCATGTCGCAGTTTAGCTAAATTAATTCACGGCTCCTCCTGAAGTGACGAGTGATGCATTAAACACTGATTTCCAGCTGCGGCCGCGCTTCATTCTCGTAATGTATAGTTTGTCTAAAGCAGGGATACAATCAGCAAGCGCAGTCGTCCCTCCAGTGTAAAAAACACATATGTTGTCTGCCGGTTTTGTTTACCTGTGGGAGTTCACTGGCATTTTCCCGCACGTGAATTCTGACCAATCAATAAGCAGTTTAGAAAATATGTGCAACAACATCTGGCCAATGAGAGATGTGGATTTTGTCACATGACTGCATTTTGGTTCGTTTCAACTGGTTCGGACCAAAGCCAGCAGTGTGGTGTGAGAACGACCCAAAGACGGCAGAAAATGCAACAATGTATCATTTATTACCCTTGACACAGACCAAATGAAGTGAACTACAGATGTGAAAGCACCCTATATTTTAGAGCAGTAATCACAATACTGTGATACCATATTTTTATCCAAGGTTATCATATAGTCAGAATCTTATACCGCCCCATGCCTAATTAGAGCAAATGCTTTACTGCTTGGCCGCTTGACAAATAAATAAATAAAATTTGTTTCGCTGCAAAATGAGCCTATTTCAAACTCGTCATGTGTTTCTGTGTTCTGAAAAGCTCCTCGTTGGTGTCCGTGTTCATCATTACGTTTAATAAAACTCAAATAAAACTAAACATATTCATTTATCTTCTGTTTTGATTTGATTTATATTCAGTGGGGAAGCAAGAGAAACAAATAACAGAGTAGCAGTGAAAATAAAGCTACTGATATGTTTACCTGTGGTATTTTGCATAATAATGTGAAAATAATAGATTTTGTTGCAGGAGCGGGACGGAAACTTCTCTACCTTGAATTAATATTGTTTAACTTCCTCCACTGGCAGATTATTTAGCTTGTTTTCAAGAAAAACTCTCTCAATTTTAACTCATTATTTCTGTAAATAAGACTATGGCTGCGTCCGAAACGGCATACTTCCATACTATATAGTACGCTAAAATCAGTATGCGAGCCGAGTAGTATGTCTGAATTCATAGAATTGGAAAGTCAGTATGCGAGAAGTCCCTGGATGACTTTCTACTTCCGGCGAGATTCTGGAGTGCGCATCCCATGCACGCTCCGCTATCCCATAATGCCCCGCGAGAGAATTCATGAATGGAAGTGAAGCGACGCAACTGACGCAGGTAGGTCACATGACCATGACAAAACGGCGGATGTAGTACGTCCGAATTGCATTCATACTTTTCACATTCATACTGTATAGAACGCACTTTTCTAACGGCCGAGTAGTACGTTTACATTCAAATGCAGTACCTACTGAGAAGTAGGCGGTTTCAGACGCAGCCTATATTTTGTGTTTATTTCGAAAATGCTTCCTGATTTAACAATTTTTAGATATTCGGACTAGAAACAAGACAAACTCCGAGTAGAAAAGCATTTTTGTGCAGCTGAACCTGGATCATTCAAGCACCATCTGATCTAAGATCAGTTCTGTCTATGAAAGCTTGTATATGAAGTGTGAGAACAAACCTGGCCCTGGATCAGTTGATAAGGGTGTGAAGATAAAGAATAAGAAACACAGATGAAGAACAGACAAATGCACACTGGACACACATTAGATGGCAACACTCAACACATGAAGAGTCGAGTATACACAGAGCATTTGTCATTGTGATGAACATTATATTGCTGTAAATGAACGTCCTTCACCTGATTCCCAGCTGCTTTCTTCTTAATCTGACTGCTTCTCTGTTGAGCACTGAAGACGACAGAAATCAGAGTACACATGTTTACAATACACACAGTGGCAGAATAAAAGCTTCAAATGTGTAAAATGCCATTTAGTTTAGGTCATATTGAGAATTAATATCAGATTATTAATAATTAGTATGTTAGATTATTAATCATTTATTCATAATAGTATTTATCATATAATATTTTATGCTATTATGTAGATTAACATTGGTGTTTATTATTAATATAGTATAATAATATATTTGTGCTTATTATACAGGGTGGGCCATTTATATGGAGACACCTTAATAAAATGGGAATGGTTGGTGATATTAACGTCCTGTTTGTGGCACATTAGTATATGTGAGGGGGCAAACTTTTCAAGATGGGCAGTGACCATGGTGGCCATTTTGAAGTCGGCCATCTTGGATCCAACTTTTGTTTTTTTTCAATAGGAAGAGGGTCATGTGACACGTCAAACTTATTGGGAATTTCACAAGAAAAGCAATGGTGTGCTTGGTTTTACCGTAACTTTATTCTTTCATGAGTTATTTACAAGTTTCTGACCACTTATAAAATGCGTTCAATGTGCTGTCCCATTGTGTTGGATTGTCAATGCACACACTGATAGCAACACCGCAGGAGAAATGCCAGCACAGGCTTCCAGTATCTGTAGTTTCAGGTGCTGCACATCTTGTATCTTCACACCATAAACAATTGCCTTCAGATGACCCCAAATATAAAAGTCTAAGGGGGTCAGATCGGGAGACCTTGGGGGCTATTCAACTGGCCCACGACAACCAATCCACTTTTCAGGAAACTGTTCATCTAGGAATGCTTGGACCTGACACCCATAATGTGGTGGTGCACCATCTTGCTGGAGAAACTCAGAAAACGGGTCAGCTTCAGTGCGTAAAGAGGGAAACACATCATCATGGAGCAGTTTCAAATATCCAGTGGCCTTGAGGTTTCCATTGATGAAGAATGGCTCCACTATCTTTGTTGTCTATGGTGTGAAGATACAAGATGTGCAGCACCTGAAACTACAGATACTGGAAGCCTGTGCTAGAGTTTCTCCTGCTGTGTTGCTATCACTGTGTGAAGAGTCGGAGAAGAGGGTTGCATTGACAATCCAACACAATAGGCAGCACACTGAACACATTTTATAAGTGCTCAGAAACTTGTAAATAACTCATGAAAGAATAAAGTTACGTTAAAACCAAGCACACCATTGTTTTTCTTGTGAAATGCCCAATAATTTTGACGTGTCACATGACCCTCTTCCTATTGAAAAAAACAAAAGTTGGATTCAAGATGGCCGACTTTAAAATGGCCACCATGGTCACCACCCATCTTGAAAAGATTGCCCCCTCACATTTACTAATGTGCCACAAACAGGACGTTAATATCACCAACCATTCCCATTTTATTATAGTGTCTCCATATAAATGGATATAATATATTACCATTAATATTGAGAAAAGAACAATAGTTTATTAATAACTATTAGATTACGTTATTAGCATTATATATGTATTATTATTCTACTTAATGTAGGCGAATGCTTGTGATAAAGTAATATGATACATATAATTAAAATCCATAGTTTACTGCTATTTGATTTTAATATTACGTTTATATTTGTACAATTAACTATTGTTATAATTTTGTGCTTATTATTTATTAAATATTATCAATGTAATTATATAAATAAGTAATTATATAAATAAACATTAAGTAAATAAATAGACAATTTGTAGATTACTATTATAATTATTCTTCATTTGAATCTGTTTTGATGTTTTGTTTAATAAGGCTTAATAATAATAATTCGCCACGTTACGGTCGAGGAAACGAAACTCACTTGGCAAATCCGATGAAGTCCTCATGGTTGGTGTTCATGTACGCCAGCTCGATATCAATCAACAGCAGCACCTGATGAACATAAACAGCAAACAATCACACCTGTTCCTCTCAGCAGCTGTTATGTATTACACTGGTTAATACTGGAGGCAGGACGCACCTGATTTTTAGTGCGGCTCTCGCGGTCGCGGATGTGCTGTGTGACGATCCGCTCCATCTCTTCTCTCAGCATAGGATACTGGGCCAGCTGTTACACAATCACATGCGTTTGTGTTGCGGATACGACACACACACACACACACACACACACACACACAGAGTCTGCAACAGAACACTTATAACAACCTATAATACATTGAAATGTAAACATCGAGCAGAAATGGAAAATTTTGCTTCTAAGAAATGTTGTTTATATAATTTCACAAAACTTAATATTTCGTATGACGAATTAACTCTACATTTTTGCGAATCTGAATTTTTTTTTACTTAGTTACAATCTTAGTACATTTCTGATCACAATTTCACTAGGGGGGTGCTAACTATATTTTAACGAATCTGAAATACATTATTATGGTACGTTTTGTTGTACATTTCAAATGACAAATTCACTAGAGGGCGCTGTCAAATTTTTTTATTTGGAACACATCATTTAGATTATGTTTTTGATGTACATTTTAGATGTCAAATCCACTAGAGGGCGCTGTCTACATTTTCGCAAAACATAAAACAAATTACTTAATGTATGTTATGTTGCATTTCAGATGACAAATCCACTAGAGGGTGCTGTTTACATTTTTGTGAGTCTGAAACTTATTACTTAGGGTACATTTTGTTGTTAGTACAAATCCACTATAGTGTGCTTAAGCTTGTTTTATTGTGTTTCCGATAACAAATCCACTAGAGGAAAATGTTTACATTTTTGCTAATTTGAAAATTGTTACTTACGGTATGTTTTGTTGTTCATTTTAAATGACAAATCCACAAGTGGGCGCTGTCTGCATTTTTGCAAATCTAAAATACGTTACTTAGACTACATTTTGTTGTGTTTCAGACGACAAATCCACAAGTGGGTGCTGTCTACATTTTTGTTAGTTTGAAATACGTTATTTAGATTTTTTTGATGTGCATTTCAGATGACAAATCCACTAGTGGGCGCTGTCTACATTTTTGTTAGTTTGAAATACGTTATTTAGATTTTTTTGATGTGCATTTCAGATGACAAATCCACTAGTGGGCGCTGTCTACATTTTTGTTAGTTTGAAATACGTTATTTAGATTTTTTTGATGTGCATTTCAGATGATAAATCCACTAGTGGGCGCTGTCTACATTTTGGCTCGGCTGAAATTTGTTACTTAGAGTGTGTTTTGTTGTATGTTTCAGATGAAAAATCCACAAGAGGGCGCTGTCTATAATTTGGGGTACTTTTTGTACACTTTTGAAGAAATACATTATTTAGATTGTTTTATGATAAATCACTAGAGGACGCTGTCTACATTTTTGCAAATGTAAAATATTTTACCTAGGTTAGATTTAGTTGTTCATTTCAGATGACAAATACTCTAGATTATGCTGTCAAAGTTTTTGCAAATCTGATATGCGTTACTTAGGGTTCATTTTGTTGTTCGTTTCAGATGACAAATACACTTGGGGACTGCTGTCTACATTTTTAATCTGAAATACGTTACTTAGACTACATTTAGTTGTGTTTCAAATGATGACAAATCCACTAGTGGGCGCTGTCTACATTTTTGTTAATTTGAAATACGTTGATTAGATTGTTTTGATGTGCATTTCAGATGGCAAATCCACTAGAGGGCGCTGTCTATAATTTGGGGTACTTTTTGTACACTTGATGAAATACATTATTTAGATTTTCTTATGTACATTTTACATGGTAAATCACTAGAGGGCGCTGTCTACATTTTTGCAAAACAAAATACGCAACTTAAGCTATGTTTTGTTGTGTTTCAGATGACAAATCCACTATAGTGCGCTGTTTACATTTTTGCAAATGTAAAATATTTTACCTAGGTTAGATTTAGTTGTTCATTTCAGATGACAAATACTCTAGATTATGCTGTCAAAGTTTTTGCAAATCTGATATGCGTTACTTAGGGTTCATTTTGTTGTTAGTTTCAGATGACAAATACACTAGAGGGCGCTGTCTACATTTTTAATCTGAAATACGTTACTTAGACTATATTTTGTTGTGTTTCAGATAATGACAAATCCACTAGTGAGCGCTGTCTACAGTTTTGTTAATTTGAAATACGTTGTTTAGATTGTTTTGATGTGCATTTCAGATGGCAAATCCACTAGAGGGCGCTGTCTACATTTTTTCTTGGCTGAAATCTGTTACTAAGGGTGTTTTGTTGTGCGTTTCAGATGAAAACTCCACTAGAGAGTGCTGTCTATAATTAGGGGTACTTTTTATACACTTGATGAAATACATTATTTAGATTGTTTTATGTACATTTTACATGATAAATCACTAGAGGGCGCTGTCTACATTTTTGCAAATGTAAAATATTTTACCTAGGTTAGATTTAGTTGTTCATTTCAGATGAAAAATCCACTAGAGTATGTTGTCAAAGTTTTTGCAAATCTGATATGCGTTACTTAGGGTTCATTTTGTTGTGTGTTTCAGATGACAAATACACTAGAGGGCGCTGTCTACAGTTTTAATCTGAAATTCGTTACTTGGCCTACATTTTGTTGTGTTTCAAATTATGACAAATCCACTAGTGGGCGCTGTCTACATTTTTAATTTGAAATACGTTGATTAGATTGTTTTGATGTGCATTTCAGATGGCAAATCCACTAGAGGGCGCTGTCTACATTTTTTCTTGGCTGAAATTTGTTACTAAGGGTGTTTTGTTGTGCGTTTCAGATGAAAAATCCACTAGAGAGTGCTGTCTATAATTTGGGGTACTTTTTGTACACTTGATGAAATACATTATTTAGATTTTCTTATGTACATTTTACATGGTAAATCACTAGAGGGCGCTGTCTACATTTTTGCAAAACAAAATACGCAACTTAAGCTATGTTTTGTTGTGTTTCAGATGACAAATCCACTATAGTGCGCTGTTTACATTTTTGCAAATCTAAAATATTTTACCTAGGTTAGATTTAGTTGTTCATTTCAGATGACAAATACTCTAGATTATGCTGTCAAAGTTTTTGCAAATCTGATATGCGTTACTTAGGGTTCATTTTGTTGTTAGTTTCAGATGACAAATACACTAGAGGGCGCTGTCTACATTTTTAATCTGAAATACGTTACTTAGACTATATTTTGTTGTGTTTCAGATAATGACAAATCCACTAGTGAGCGCTGTCTACAGTTTTGTTAATTTGAAATACGTTGTTTAGATTGTTTTGATGTGCATTTCAGATGGCAAATCCACTAGAGGGCGCTGTCTACATTTTTTCTTGGCTGAAATCTGTTACTAAGGGTGTTTTGTTGTGCGTTTCAGATGAAAACTCCACTAGAGAGTGCTGTCTATAATTAGGGGTACTTTTTATACACTTGATGAAATACATTATTTAGATTGTTTTATGTACATTTTACATGATAAATCACTAGAGGGCGCTGTCTACATTTTTGCAAATGTAAAATATTTTACCTAGGTTAGATTTAGTTGTTCATTTCAGATGAAAAATCCACTAGAGTATGTTGTCAAAGTTTTTGCAAATCTGATATGCGTTACTTAGGGTTCATTTTGTTGTGTGTTTCAGATGACAAATACACTAGAGGGCGCTGTCTACAGTTTTAATCTGAAATTCGTTACTTGGCCTACATTTTGTTGTGTTTCAGATAATGACAAATCCACTAGTGGGCGCTGTCTACAGTTTTGTTAATTTGAAATACGTTGTTTAGATTGTTTTGATGTGCATTTCAGATGGCAAATCCACTAGAGGGCGCTGTCTACATTTTTTCTTGGCTGAAATCTGTTACTAAGGGTGTGTTTTGTTGTGCGTTTCAGATGAAAAATCCACTAGAAGGCGCTGTCTATAATTTGGGGTACTTTTTGGACACTTGATGAAATACATTATTTAGATTTTACATGGTATGTACATTTTACATGGTAAATCACTAGAGGGCGCTGTCTACATTTTTGCAAAACAAAATACGCAACTTAAGCTATGTTTTGTTGTGTTTCAGATGACAAATCCACTAGAGGACGCTGTCTACATTTTTGCAAATCTAAAATATTTTACCTAGGTTAGATTTAGTTGCTCATTTCAGATGACAAATACACTAGAGTATGCTGTCAAAGTTTTTGCAAATCTGATATGCGTTACTTAGGGTTCATTTTGTTGTGTGTTTCAGATGACAAATACACTAGAGGGCGCTGTCTGTATTTTTAATCTGAAATTCGTTATTTAGACTACATTTTGTTGTGTGTTTCAGATGACAAATCCACTAGTGGGCGCTGTCTACAGTTTTAATCTGAAATTCGTTATTTAGGGTGATTTTTGTTGTGTTTCAAATGACAAATACACTAGAGGGCGCTGTCTAATTTTTTAGAACTGTAATAGCAAAGAATGTGCAGTATTGTAAAATGTAAAAATAGATTTTTGATTGGAAACCTGTTGCAAAGTCTGTGAAATCACACATTATTTTACTGCATTCACACCAACACACATTATATGGTGTATGTATGCACATGACAGGTAAACGAGCTGACATTAAAGAAACTCAATCACTGTATGTCACATGACTAAATTTCAATGCATCACTAGTATCACAAAATAGTGACCCTTCTGGATTTGCAATCTTCCATAATTTAAAGCAAAACTCAAGGAAAGCTTTGGAATCATTTAAAGATGACTATAAATAAAGATGACTATAAATAACTATATAAATAATGTTCAGTTTTTGTTGAACTGTCCCTTTAAGAATGGCGTGTGTCATTAAATACAGAATTCTGCCGCATAAATCGTGATCCATATGTCTGATGCATTGGAACTTGCAGATATTGTCAAACAAATCTAACCACACACACACAATCGCATTAACACACCAATACACCAGCAGAGTATTTGGCTTGCACAGGGATGCAGTGATCATGATCAGTAGAAATGAGTGTTTCTAGAGGAACTACAGGCAAACAGGCAAACAGACGTGCTGAGATGAAGAGAATAGAGAGAACAGCGAGAGGAGAAGAGGTGAGACCAGAAGACCTTGTGTGGATTCAGAACTCTCAGAAGAACACACACACAATACGTTTAAGGGTGCA